GAAGTCACCTGCTACAGAGAGCAGAGTAGAAAGAGGCAAGCAAGCTTCTGGACAGGAAAAACAGGTATGGAAATGTAATGGGACTGAAGGGAGGTGATTTTATGACTCTCATTGGCTTCAGCATTCAAAAAGTTGACCTATGTCCCCTCCCACTCTGGTCTAGGACTCCAAGTTGGTATATGACTCACTGTAATGCCCTTTTGTTTTTTCATCTGCATCAGTGGCCCAGCAATCTCTCACTTCAGGTCCAGGTTTGGTAAGATATATCTATTTCTTTGATTCATTTTCATTCTATAAGGGCTTCCCCGATAGCTCAGTTGGTAAACAATCTACCTGCAATGCAGGAGACCCCAGTTCGATTTCTGGGTCAGGAAGATCCCCTGGAGAAGGGATGGGCTACCCACTCCAGTATTCTGGCCTGGAGAATTCCATACACTTGTATAGCCCAGGGGGTCGCAGAGTCAGACACGACTGAGCAACTTTCACTTTCACTTTCATTCTATGAGGAGATCATGGTGCGGGCCTGCAGGCATGCGTGTGTGCTGGGTTTTCAGTTGTGTCCACTCTTTTGACTCTACAGCGGTCCCACGGACTGAAGCCCGCCAGACTCCTCTGTCCTTGGGATTTTCCAGGCAAGAATACTGGAGTAGGTTGCCGAGCCCCGCTCCAGGGGATCTTCCCAACTCAGGGATCAAATCCGTGTCTCTTGCATTTCCCACTTTGGCAGGTGGGTTCTTTACCACTGAGCCACCTGGAAGCCTCAGAGATCAAGGTAACTTTCTCCAAATCCCTGTATTTTTTCATTTTTTCATTCCTTCATTGGTTGAACATTTCTTGAGCTTCAATTAAAAAATAATGACATTGCAAAAGGATTTCTCTGGTGGTCCAGTGGTTAAGAATCTCCCTGCCAATGCAGGGGACATGGGGTCAATCCCTGGTCTGGAAAGATTCCACACGCAACTAAGGGCGACTAAGCCCCAGTGTCTCAACTACTGAGTCCATGCTCTAGAGCCCCTGTGAAGCAACAAGAGAGATCATCGCAATGAGAAGCATGAACACCACAACTAGAGACTGGCCCCTGCACAGCCGAAGACCCAGCACAACCAAAAATACATACATTTAAAAAAAATAATAATAAGGGAAAAATAGGAGATGGCTTCTTCCCTCAAGGAGACACGTCACTACCAGCAGCAGCACCACCACCACTGCTACTACTAAGCCTCACACAGGAAGTGTTCTCTGAGCTGAATTTCAAAGACTAGGTAGTAGTGCACAGGTGAAGAAGGAGGAGGCAAGGCATTCCAGGCAGAGGGAATAAACTCGGAGGCATAAAGAAGTGTGGATTGAATGTCTGGTGTATATAAAGTATAAAGTAATTTGGAGATAGGAAATGATGAGGGAATTTGAAGACACGTTGTGAAGAACTTTATATCATGCTTAGGATATTGGAAGTTTGTCTCCAAAACAGTGGAAACCTAGGTTTTATTCTTGTTCAACTATTTATATGCTAATATATTACTGTTATATAATAATGTTACAGGCAAAAACTAATTCTGACTCCATGTTGGAACTGTTTCTTGGACTTGCTTTTGTTGATTTTGTTTTTGTTTTAATTAATTAATTAATTTTAATTGGAGGCTAATGACTTTACAATATCGTGGTGGGTTTTGCCATACATTGACATGAATCAGCCATGGTGTACTTGTGTTCCCCATCCTGAGTGATTTTGTTTTTATAATTATACCTGAAGGCCTGCCTTAGAGAACCCTGCCCCTCTACCGGACTGTTAAAGTGTCTTTGTTTAGAACTCTGTCCAACTGTAGAGGGCAGGAAGGAAGAAATTAATATACCCCCTGACAGAGGCTTAGGGCTTCCCTTAAGGCTCAGATGCTAAAATATCTGCCTGCAATGCAGGAGACCTGGGTTCCATCCCTGGGTCAAGAAGATCCCCTGGAGGAGGGTACAGCGTTATAGCAACCCACTCTAGTATTTTTGCCAGGAGAATTCTATGGACAGAGAAGGCTGCTGTCCATGGGGTTGCAAGCAGTCAGATACGACTGACTGTTTTTACTTTGTTTCCTCACCTCCCCACGTCTCAGATCTAAAAAAGAACCTTTAATCTAGACCTCCGACAAGATGGTTATTTTGAGATATTAGCCTGCCATTTTCTTGCTCAGCCAGCTTTCCCAAGTAAAGTTGTATTCCTTGCCTCAACATCTCATCTCTGGGATTTATTGGCCTACCATGCAGGAAGAAGAGCAGGCTTGAACTCGGTAACAATAATACAAATATAATAAATAATATTTTGTAGGATCATATATAATGTGATAAATTATATAAATATTAATATATTTGTGTAACATTATTATATGAATTTTTTTTGTAGTTTGTTATAAAACAAGAAGGAAAATATCTACATACTACTTTTCTGGCCTAAGAAGTATTTTTCATGGAACTGAGCTCTTTGCTTTAGAAATCATGACTCGCTTGCAAACAATGTGTCGAACAAAAGCAGTGCAAGTTCAGCTCAGTCATTTCAGTAACTGCTTATTTTTGGAATGCTGCTCCGAACATTTCAAGGAGAGATTGCTCTAGAAAGACCTATACGCACAATGGTAAGATATAGGCAAAATGCTTTTTACTCAGTAAAGTTCATGAAAAAAAAAATTCTTTTTCAGAGGAATGTTCAGTATTTCAAGTCAATTTGTACCATGTTTTATAGATTTACTTGGACCTTAAACTGTTGTTTTATTTTCTTTGTTTAAAAATTAAAAAAAATTTATTTGGCTGTGTTGAGTTGATTGCAGCACAGGTGAACTTTGTTGTGTCATACAGGACCTTCTGTTAAGGAGGTGCAGGGACTTTCTAGTTGTTACTCTCAGGCTTGGTTGCTTCACAGCATGTGGCATCTTAGTCCCCCGACCAGGGATCGAACCTGTGTCCCCTGCATTGCTTCCCTGGTCGCTTAGATGGTGAAGAAATCTGCCTGCAGTGCAAGAGACCTGGGTTCAATCCCTGGGTCAGGAAGATCTCTGGAGAAGGAAAGAGCAACCCACTCCAGTATTCTTGCCTGGAGAATTCCATGGACCAAGGAGCCTGGCAGGCTACAGTCCAGGGGGTCCCCAAAAGTTGGATACGACTGAGGGACTAACTCTTTCTTTCACCCTGGGAAGAACCTTTTATTGGGGCAGTTTCTGTGCTCAGAGTCTAAACTAAACAAGCATAAAGAACTCTTCTCTACCTTATGATTAGGAATTCCCTCAAATAGTACTGTTTTGTTGATTATGCATCCATGAGTTTCCTACCATGCACATCTTTAATCTGTTATTGTATCAGATTAAAATAACTGATTCCCTAGTGTTAAACAGAACTTTCAAAACCAGGACACAGTCACCTTGGCTTTGATGTATATTGTTTTAGCTATTGCTCTGTTCAGTTTGCCACTGTTATATTAGGATGCTTGCACCTATGTTCATGAAGAAGACTGGCATTTAATTTTCATTTCTTACATTGTGCTCATAAAACTGGTAATAAAGCTTTGCTAACCTTAAAAACACTTGTCTCTAAATGTTTGCTGAGATGGGAGTAAGAAGTGTTGTATATAATTTTGTCTTAGATTCATTATTCTTGAATTATTGTTAGAAGTCAAAAGCAGTACAATATAAAGAGCTTAATAAAATTTCCAATTAGCATGTCTAATTTGATCTAAATATTATATGAAATACTAATTGTTAATGTTGAATTCAAATGATTGTGTATCTATAGGTTGGGTGGACAGTCTTCCTTATATATACATGCTGGTATTTTGCTGCTAATACAGAGTTTTTCTTTGCTTTAAGAAGTTAAGTTATGGACTTTCCTGGTGGTCCAGTGATTTAAGACTCCACCCTTCCAGTGCAGGGAGTACAGGTTCGATCCCTGGTCAAGGAACTAAGATACCACATGCCATGCAGTGTGGCCAAAAATATTTTTTAAAAATTTAAAAGTTATTACTTTAAGGTAATGGTTGCAAACTACTTAAGGTATATTCCAATTTTATTGATATTTCTTCATAAATACATATACTTTAAGTTCAGAGGTTCTTCATATAGGATACCACATAAGGCATTTTAGAAAATACCAAGTGTTCTTTGGCAATGTCAAATAGTAATATCTAAATTCAGTCAATTGAGGAGGAAGCTTTAACAGAACAAAACTGTNATTCTGTTCCATTGATCTATATTTCTGTCTTTGTGCCAGTACCATACTGTCTTGATGACTGTGGCTTTGTAGTATAGTCTGAAGTCAGGCAGGTTGATTCTTCCCCAAACTGTTCTTTTAAAATACTGTTATGAGAGTCAGGTTTCTGTTTTTATTTATTTATTTTTAACTAAAGGATAATTGCTTTACAATATTGTGATTTCTGCCATACATTATGTTTTTATTTTTATTCAGCTGGCTTCCCAAGCATTGGTCTTGAGAATTCTGCACCTTCATTAGACAATTATTCCCTGGAGTATGCACATAAAGTTGTCTGTGCAAGAAACATCTCAATGGAAAACTCCACCCCTGGAATTTGGAAGATCTATCCTTGTGACTTTTGACGTGGGTGACCATTTGGAACCATCGTGAACACTTTGAGGGGCTCACACTGTCTAAATTGGGAGGGTATTTCTTGCCAGGCTTTTCCTCCTCATCTGTCTGCACCTCAGTTTCAGCTGCTTTCAGAAATACTTGTCTCTCTTTTTGAGATTCTCCCTAGGGTCATCGAAAGTAAATTTTAGAGTTGCCACATATTTCAAATCAGGCTTACTCCAGACAAACCTCCCAAATTTGGTGAAAATCAACTCAACCATAGTTGCTCAGTAACAGAAAACTAGAAACATGAGTTATAAATTTATTTTCATTACTAAATAAGAACAACAACAACACAAATTTACCTTAACAACAGGTAACAGAAGAACAACAAAAAGACAAAGAGAAACCTGAAAACAGAAGAGGGCCAGGGTAGAAGGGGAGGCAGCTATGGCAATCATGTGAGAAATGCTCAGGCCCTAAAGGACAGTGCTTTTGATGGGTTTATGTTCTTGTAACAGAGTGAGATGAGCACAGCCCTTAGCAGGCAGCCATTGCTGGCCTCATTACTTCGCACCCTGTTACTAGGCAACAGGTCTCGCTCAGCGCCACAGTGGGCCCTGTCCACAAGCAACCAACTGTCAGTGAGTGACCGTTAGATGTCCTGCTCAGCTATTGGTCAGTGCTGCAGTGGGCCCTGTCAACAAGTAACTGTCAATGAGGGACCATTAAGGAAGTGATTCAGCCAAGGGTCAGTGGTGTGCTGGTCATCAGGTAGACAGTGAGGTAAGAGGCAGATTCAGGCCTTATCCTGGAGGCCCTCCAGCTCACCCAGCCTTGGGCCAGTGGATGAACTGGAGGGCCCAGGGAACAGACTGGGGAATACATCCTGCAGGCCTTCGGGGCCCTCACTAAGGCCCTCCTCTAGCCTTGGCCTATGCCTCGAGGGGTGGTAAACCTCTCCCCCATCCCTGTCTCTGTGACCTAGTAGCAATGGTCGACTGCCTCAGTTGCAGTTCGTGAGACCTGGTCTCTTCCATTTGGGTGGCCTGAGGAGACTGAGGGACGGTTGGGTTGGATGCCTGGCTCCCTCAGGGATAACAGCTGAACAGGGATAACAGGGCGTGGGAACAGGCTCCTGAAGGAGCTGCCTCCTCTTAACCAGGACTGGCACCTTGGAGAGGGAAAGTTGGGCCTTGGGCCTTTGCCCTTTCTTGTCAGGACACAGAATAACAGAGATTTGCAGGAACATCATTACCTGACCATGACCCAACCTCAAGAGCAAAGGATCTGACACCAAGAAGTTTGCAACAACTAACCACACGCCTCCCTTAGCTTCTGCTTTTAAAGGGGCTTGATGAAAGCTTTCAGTAACTTCCAGATGGGAGGGCATGAGCCTCCCACCTTTTGTATGAACCTGTAATAAACCTTTCTCTGTCCGAAATGCTAATGTTTTAGTATTGATTGGCCTTACTGTACGTCGGGCACATGGACCTGCGATTTGGTAACATTCCCAAATTGGTCCTATATACCTCAACTTGGGCTCTGGCCCAGCCAAAGTCGCTTGCCTTACTGAGGAGGGTTCTTTTTCTGTTTGGATTCGCATGACTAACAACAAAACTGATGCTGAGACAGAAACAGCACACACTGTAATCAATGGCCAGAGAATGAGAAACAGTAACTTAGCTTGAGACTCAGCTTCTCAATCTACCTGATATACCATATATATAGGAGCGTTGAGGTAAAAAGAGGGAACTGAGTAAAGAGAAGGAGGAGGATTTCGCTGGTTGTCCTGTGGTTAAGACTCCCCCCTTACACTGCATTGGGTTGTTGGGATCTAAGTTCCTGCAAGCATGGCCAGAAAAAAAAAAAGAGGGAGGAATATTTATGACACATCTGAGAACAGGGATGTGATATGCTTGTGAAGACAACAGTCTTTTTATAACACTGGATTTCAGTCCTTCAGTGGGCTTGCTTGGCTGTTGCCACAGCAACTGTCAACTGTCAGATGTGTTATTTATCACACAAATATATTACCATGAACATATAAGGAGGGTCTACTGGAGGCTTTCTACCATCTTGGACCCAGTTGGTTCTAACAGATTTTGGTGGGCTCTTGTTTTTTTTTTCTGGTTTCTTCCTGTAAGATAACACTTCCCTGCAGCTTAGTTCTCTCAAGGAAGGGGGAGGATTATAGCTGAAGGCTAACAGCCTTGGTAACATTTGGAGAGGGGAAGGGGCAGATGTGTAGGAAATGTAGGGTGCAGAACTGGCAAGTTAAATGACTTATTATGAGAAAGAAGAAAAGAGGGAAGAGATTATTAACAGTAAGCACTTAGCTATGCTGAGCATTGAAGTAGCCTCTTTATATACATAGACACATTTAATGCGCCCACAGATCTCTTACTGAAAACTTGGCCTCTCTGTACACCGATGCTAAATCAGATCTTGGAAGACAGAGTTTTGGGGGAAGTAGAAAGTTACAGTGGCTCAGTCGTGTCTGAATCTTTGCAACCCTGTGAACTGTAGCCGATCAGACTCCCCTGTCCATGGACTCCTTCAGGCAAGAATTCTGGAGTGGGCTGCCATTTCCTCCAGGGATCTTCCCCGACCCAGGGATCAAACCTGGGTCTCCTGCACTGCTGGTAGATTCTTTACCATCTGAACCACCAGGAGAGAAGAAAAAGGAGAAAAGGATAGCCTTATTACTTTGCAGGCAAAGGGAGAAACCCCAGGTTTCTGACTCAAAAAACTACGTTTCAACCCCAGAGAACTTAATGAGGCTTTTTATAACAGTGGGTCAAAGGTGGGGTCTCAAGACTTCCCTGGTGGTCCAGTGGTTAAGAATCTGCCTGGCAATGCAGGAGACATGGGTTCAATCCCTGATTGGGGAACTAAGATCCCACATGACTTGAAGCAACTAAGCCTGCTCACTCTGGAGCTCAACTGCCCCAATTAGAGATCCCACATGACAATGATGCATGCTGCAACTAAGACCTAATACAGCCAAATATTTAAAAAAAAACAAACACCCCCCCACACCCCCCTCATCTTTAACGAGATTATAGGCTTCCCTGATGGCTCAGCAGCCAAGAATCCGCCTATAGTGCAGGAGATGCAGGAGATGAGGGTTTGATCCCTGGATCTGGAAGATTCCCTGAAGAGGGAAATGGCTACCCACTCCAGTATTCTTGCCTGGGAAATCCTATTGACAGAGGAGCCTGGCAGACTATAGTTCTTGGGGCTACAAGACTGCAAGACTAAACCACCTGACAAGATTAGGGTGTGAACAAGGCTCTGCACTCCCTTAATCTCAGGTGGTTGGTTTCCTAATCTTGAAGATCTTCTCTGGTCCCTTTAGTCTTGCCTCAGGTGATTTCTTGGCTGCTCCTCCCTTGATTAGCAACTGTTCTAATCTGCCCTTTGGAATTCAGGGAAGGTCATAATGGCTGGAGAAATGGCTCCCTACAAGAAAGGGGAGATAGAAAGGCCTCTATCCCTGGGAGATCCATAAGGCCCTACTTGGTTTCAGATCTGAGAGACAGATCTCTATTTCACAGTTGGGGAAGTAGGCCTAGGTAGGGCCTGATACTATTTCCCTACACGAGGCAGGCTGAGCCATTTGCAGTTAATGTGAGCAAATTTTGTGACAAAATCTAGGACACAAAAGCTGTACTTGCTTTCAGCATAATAAGGGCAAAGTTATTAGATGAGTTGAATAAGACCAAAGTCACACTGGGCTTCCCAGGTGGCACAGGGGTAAAGAATCCACCTGCCAATGCAGGAGACACAAGAGATCCAGGTTCTATCCCTGGGTTGGGAAGATCCCCTGGAGGAGGAAGTGGCAACCCACTCCAGTATTCTTGCTTGGGAAATCCTGTTAACAGAGGAGCTTGGTAGGCTACAGTCTATGGAGTTGCAAAGAGCTGGACATGATAGAGCGACTGAGCACACATGCAGAGTCACAGAATCAGAAGGGCACGTTTTCCTTGAGTACCAGAGGAGTTGGTCTGCAGAAAGAAATTAATTTTCAGGGTGGTGAATTATGGTAGACTTGAGGCACATCAGGCCCAAACTAACAATATCTCATCTTTGGGCTCCTATCCATGTCCATTATATTGGCCAGAACTCTGTTTCAACAGGAGTCAGCAGAAACAAAGTAGAAGAAATCTTTTAACACTCAAGAGAAGGCTGGCACAGAGAAAAATTTGCAAGCCTAAAGAATGGATTAGAGGGCTGGGTCTTCATTGTTCTGGGAGGGGAGGTAGGGTTTGAAGAAGATGGGGGAGGGGCCGTGGAAAGACTTGAAGGAGAGAATCTCTGCTGGAGGAAGAGGTCTTTTTAGAAAACTAGGGTAACCAGTTAGGAAACCTTACGAAACCTTAAGCAATGCGGTTGAGCTCCTCTGACGGTCCACGGGTGCACATTATCCAAACCAAGGACAGAAATGTCAGTATCTTCGTTACTGCATGTGATTTTGGGCTCCTCCTCTGGGCCTCCGGTGAAGAGTTCCTGGGTCTGGAAATGGCTGCGGCAGTGGTGGACTTTGGGTTAAGAATAACCCCCCTCCTTGGTCAGTGGATGGGCAGTGGTCCAGATGTCTACTGTGGACAACAGGTCATCGGAGGCACCAACCGGCAGACAAGACCCAGGCGGAAGCGACTGTAAGGCTTAGTCCCTTTTCCCCATTTCTGAGAGTGGCTACAGAAGTAGGACACAAGGGGCTGTCGGTGTGGGGAAGGGCTGGCAGTTACTATTTGCTGATGAGGTCCTGAGATTCTGACTAAAGTTTGTAATTCCATAGCCTTCCCACTGTTTCTGGAGGGTGACTGACATTTCAGAATTGGGTTTGTGGGGGTGCAGGGAGAGAGGCAGGAAAAGGAAAAAAAATTGTGTTGTGGTGGTGTACTACACTGCTCTGAGACTTGATGCCAATGTTTCTCTAATCTTAGTGGCCAGAACCTGGGAGGAGCTGCTCTTCTAAAGCAGCTCGCAATTTTCTGACTTGTGTTTTAATGAAGACCGCTCTTTTGTGTTGGAGAATTCCTTCCCTGTACTTGAGGGGTCTTCTTGGTTTGGCAATAGCAAAGACCAACTTCTTTAGTGGAATGTACAGTTGGGACACAGCTGAAGTGACCTGTAGAATAATGCCGATGGTAATCTCCTTTTGAGTTAACTTGAGTTGGGGTAATGTTAGAAGGGCAATTATCTTCTGTTGGTTACCTGTAAAAATTGCTGAGAAGAGCGAAGAGATGAAATTTTGGGAAACAGGCTTTAGATGCTGCACTTTTTTTTTTTTTTACTGCACCGTGGGGCATGCAGGATCTTAGTTCCCCAAATAGGTATGAAATATGTGCCCCCTGCACTGGAAGCAGAGTCTTAATCTCTGGATGGGGAAGTCCCTAGATGCTGTACCTTGTAATAGCCATTTCTAAATCTTTTCAGCTTTGCAATTCTCCTTTTATTCCCACATTATCTGTAACAGCCAGGTGTTAGATATATTTTAGGGCACTGTAGGAGGAGCCCGTGTTCACACTTAGAATTTGCTTCTAGCCTCTAGATACTGCCTCCATCTCCCTAGATCAGTGTGATGATAGCCACTGGAGGGTAGCTGGTGGTTCTGGGACTCTAGCGGGTGGCTTGCAGCAGAATCCAGGAAGAGTGTTTATTGAGCAAAGGATGATGCTATACTGAGGAGTGCCTATGTTGAAGTTCAAGCAAGTCTGAAGTCTGACCTTAACTGAATTGAGGATCAGATTAAGGATCAGGTGCATACAGAGACGGATTTTTGTAGGGCATAAAAACTTTTTGAGGATTCTCAGGAGTGTTGGGGGAGGGGACTTGCTTTTCCATTAAAAAGGATGGGCCTTTTTCTGTTGTAGATAATTAACCAGAACTAGGACCTCTAAAAAAGAGAGGGAGAGTAATTAGTACTCCCTGCCAGCTCTGGGGGGACTAGTAGGCCGCAGGTAACTTTTCATCCTTAAGTTTCTGTGAAGCCTTCCTTGAGTTCTGTCCTTCACTTCCATAGCCAACTGTTTTCCTTTCTCTTGTTCCTACTGCACTTTGTACCCACCTTTATCACAGCAGTCAATTATCTTTTAAAAATTAATTGAAGTGTAGTTTACTTACACCCAATTATCTTGTATTGTAATTTGTAATCATATCTCTCCCAGTAGACCTCAAGGGCGAGGGACTGGCGCTGGTACACAGATTGCGGTTCAAATTCCAGCTATGCCACTCTTTGACTTTAGGTAATCACTTAATCGCTGTATGCCTCGATTTCCTTATTAAAAATAGGCACAAAAAGTAAAAAATAGAAATGGGCACAAGGCTCCGCATCGCCTGCCGTTGCTGGGAGAAATGAAGGTGACTGCGTGTAAAATACCAGGCATAAACTATGTGCAAAACAAACGGTAGGGTAAATTAAAAGCGGAAAGGCTAGCCACT